CTAGATATAGAGATACCCAGAATACAATAATCTAACTCCATATTACAATTTTAAAGAAACCAACAGAAGTGAAAATAGATTCTTTGGCTATTGCAATATATGCAAAAACTAGCAATATGAAATAGAACTAAGAATTCAAAATACTAATATTCCAACAAGAAATAATATTCAAGAAAATTGATGATATATAAGAATTGATTCTACAAGACCCTACTGGCAATATTACCAAGAACCTGGAAGAAAAAGAAACATATACCTTAATGAAAAAGTATGTGAAGCCTCTATAGATACAATGATCTGAGAATAAATTGAAGAAACCAACTTGGAATTACAAAACGAAAATTTAATAAACATATAGGAAGAAACTACTTTAAGTAGATTAGAGTGGATATTACAGAAAGATTGCCCTATACTTGAAGCAAATTTTAAAATAGAATAAACTGTCTATCCAGTAGATGACTGGATAGAACTACAATAAATAGAACTGATCAAAGCTATGGTATGAGAATAGTATTTATTTGAAGAAATGGCATTATTATGATTAATCCCTATGTTTTAACAAAATCTAGAATTAATATTCGAAAAAATCAATGCATACTACCAAGAAGAAGAATTATATCAAAAAACCTAGGAAAATACAGTAAAACCTCTATAAATGCATGCCCTTGGGACCAGGCATGTATGTGCACTTAGAAAGAGTGTGCATTTAGGGATTAGCCAATAGATTGAACATAAATTATTATAGGACTTAATATTAATACATGTACTACATAATTAATCTTAGACTATTCAACATTTCTTTAATGTTCTCAAGAACATAAAATATTTATTTTAATAATAACTTGATATAATTTTAGTATTGGAGTTTAATTAAATTAGTGATATTAAAGTGATTATGGCTGTGATATATTTGAGTGCACAAGAGTAAATGATCTAATAATTTATGTTGAACAATTTCAGGTTTTTACTCTTGGCACTTATTTCATTTCTTGTACATTTTAATTATAGATATCCAGCTCTTCAGAATTATTTTATAAAATAATAAAATTTGCAGATATCTGAATTGCATTTTTAATTTTAAGATGTTGACTTCTGATTGGTTATCATAATATAATTATCACATAAGTGCATTTATAGAAAATTTTTAATATGCATAGAACCCAAAATCATTGCACATGCAAAACATAGAGGGTTCTAAGTTCCAAGCTTGGGACCGGGCTATGGTGTGCATGTAGAGAGGGTGTGCACTTATAGAGGGTGCACTTATAGAAGTTTTACTGTATCTATATGAAGAAATTGAATCGCTAAATGATGAAGAAGAATATAAGAAATCTCATGATAAATGACAAATTAAGACTTCGAAACCTGCAATAAGACACCTAACATGCCACCAGACATGAAATCCTATGAATAGAAAATTACATAGAAAAACTGAAAAAGAAACTGCAAGAAACCAAAGAACGAATTAAAAGAGTTAATAAAGTCATAAATGACTACTATAAAATAAAATACTTACCAATCTTCGAACCACATGATAGGACGCATGTGGCAACATAAATAAAGAAACTAACAGCGTATGAATTAAAAATCTGACCATACATATGGGAAAAACTACTTAATAAAAACATTTTATATAAGACCGGAAGAATTATAAAGAATGATAAAGAACATTTTGTTACTGTATCAAGTACGGAACCTAAAACAAAATGAAAATCCGACGATCTGTGACATCGAATTTTTATACTCACAATATTGTCACCATACGTTGATCTAGGAAGAAAAGAAATAAAGCCGAGAGATTTTGGAAAATCAATTTAACCATAAAAGGAAAAACCCGGTAAAATCTATCCGGCCAAGTAGATCGATGCGATGCTTAAGCCGTGCAGGTGATGATCACTAATCAAGATTTTTTATAATGAACTGCAGATCAACGATAATTTAATAACATAGAAAGCTCAAGCTGCAATAACTCTTGAACCAGCAAACCAACGCAATTATAATTATATTTTTCGGGTTCGTTATATAATGTGCTCTTTAATACAGTAATAGGATGTTCTATATAATAGGTGGGCAATATAAAAAATAAACTCCGCTAATGATTAATAATCATTAATAGATATTTAGCGGAGTTTGCGGAGTTTGCCCACCTATTCTATAGAACATCCGCAGTTCACTATAAAAACTTGATTAGTGATCATCATTATATCGTATATGACCTGAACTCGTAATTAGACTGATGTTGTACACCACACCCCAATACATTACGTACTTTGTACTCCGTTCCTGTACGTACGTACGTACGTACAAATTTAGGCACAATCAAAATACATTTCACACTACGTGATTTAGCTAATTTTGAGCTTACCGATAACTAACAGTGTGCATTGAAGGCGTAAGAATATTAAGACACCAAGACAAGTCATGCGCCTGTCCATGCCTGGGAGTTTTTGTTTAGCTAATTCGGGGGTTTTACTGTAAATTATTCAGCAAAATCAAGATTCAGGTCAAGTGTCACAAAGGGATTCTTCGCTACATTATAGCTGTTTTCATAGATTTATTAATTGACATTATAGATGTTAGATGAAACCCTGAGGTTTCGCGTTGACGAAACACAGTTTTGTCTTTTATTAATTAAATTCTTAAATAACGAAACAGACAAAAGGTGATGAGCCTAACGAAGGTGACGAAACTAACGAAACGCAAAGGGTGAAAAACTATAAAAGGATGAAGTTACAGATAAATGTTGTTGAAACTCATCGAAGATAACGATAATGAGAATAAAAAATAAACTAACAAAAAATAGAAATTTATAAAAAATTACCATTTTAGAAATTTCATTTTTTTCTATTTCTGCCGCTATCGTTTTAAACTTTCTTTATTTTCTTAGTAAATAGAATGTGATCTCTGTAGTACGTACCACTATTTTCCATCGAATTGTTTCTTGATAAGTTACAGGTTTTCCCTCATATGGTAACTGGTAATGTACACATATTGTTTCTAATTTTCTCACGCTTTACTCATATAGATTAGTGCCGCATATATAACCTTATTAGAAAGTTAAAAGATAGCTATATAGGAAAACGACCTAAATGTAAAAAGGAAATTTCAATACTGTAACAACATTTCACAAAATTCCATAGATCGTATTTAAACCTCATCAGTAGTTTATTCTTAGTTCAAAATTTTGTTTTCCAAAAATAAAATACGTAATGCTTTTATCGCTTAGAAAACGACCAAATTATTATCAGCCAAACAAATACAAAGAGTTTCTTGCGGATTTAAATAATTCGATAGAACTAAATCCAAATGACGCTCATACGTTAATTAATAGAGCGTTAATTTATCTTCAAATGGGTAAATATGAAAATTCGCTCGAAGATTTGAGTAATTCGTTAAAAATTAAGCGAAATAATGTGTTGGCTCTTATTCGACGTGGAGATATTTATCGAATGATGGGTAAACATAAAGAGTCGCTTTCAGATTTAAATAAGTCATTAGAAATCGAATCAAATAATGTTATGGCTTTAAATTCTCGTGCTAAAACCTATCTGAAAATGAACAAAATTGAAGAATCGTTTGTAGATTTGAACAAATTATTAGAAATCGAACCAAATAACGCAGCTGGATTAAATGATCGTGGGTTTTGTTATCTGACGATGGGCAAATTTGAAGAGTCGCTTGCAGATTTAAATAAATCATTAAAAATCGAACCAAATAATGCAGAAGCATTAAATGATCGCGGTCTTTGTTATCTCAACATGAGAAGATATGAAGAGTCACTTGCAGATTTAAATAAATCTTTAGAAATCGATCCAAATGATATGACTGTACTGAATAGTCGTAGTATATATTTTTATAAAATGGGAAGATTTGAAGAATCTATCAAGGATTTAAATATTAAACAAGATAATGCTGAGGTGTTGTATCTTCGTGGTTTAGTATATAAAGGTATGGGTAAACACGACGAGTCACTCGTAGAATTTAACAAATTATTAGAAATTGATACGAATAACGTAATTGCATTATATAACCGTGGATTAACATATATGGAGTTAGGTAGGAGTGAAGAATCACTCTCTGATTTTAATAAATTATTAAAAATAAAGCCAAATAATGTGGCGGCATTGTATTATCGTGGATTGACTTTTCTGGGGATGAGAAAGAATAAAGAATCACTTTCTGATTTCAGCAAAGTACTAGAAATCGAACCAAATAATGCAATGGCATTACAACGCCGTGGATTAATTTATCGAGGATTGTGTAGAAATGAAGAATCTATTACTGATTTCAACAAATTATTAGAAATAGAACCAAGAAATGTAATGGCATTAAGTATTCGTGTATTAATTTATCAAGAGATGAACAGAAGTGAAGAATTACTTGCTGATTGCAGCAGATTATTAGAAATAGAATCACATGACAAAATTACATTGCTTATTCGTGGATTTACTTATCTAATAATAGGCATGTATGAAGAATCATTAGCAGATATTAGAAGATTATTAGAAATAGAACCAAGCAATGCAATCAGTCTGCTAGATAGTGCGTTGTGTCATTATATTAATGATAGATATGAAGAGTCGTTTGAATATTTAAATAAATTATTAGAGGTTCACCCAAATAATGAACATATATTGAAATTTTGTGAATCGGTCTATCAAAAAATGGACAGAAATGAAAAACCCTTTAATGACTTAGAAGTGACATCAAAAATTGAACTAAATAATGAAACGTTATTAAACAAAACTAAAGAATCTTGTCAACAAATGGGACTTGAAGAATTAAGAAAGCCATTAGAAATCGAACAAAATAATACGTTATTGTTTAATAATGAATTATACTCTTTCAAACCGGATAAATATGAATCATTTGCAAATTTGAATAAATTAATCAAAACTGAACCAGATATTGAAACAGAGCGGAGTTTGTTTGGATTAAATTATCAAAATATACAAGAATTATGTACGGATTTAAGCATTTCTACAAGTGAGGCAAATCTCATGAATTTCAATATACTTGAGTTATTTTATAAACAAATTAATAATGACGATAATGAAGATGCGAGTTTGAACAAACCTTTAGACGAATCAAACATATTAGTAAATCGTGGATTGACATATAAATCAACAGATAAAGATTCGCTAGAAGACTATGCAGAAATGAGTTATGAATCAGGAAAACACGAAGAGTCACGCTCAGTTTTATTAGAAACAGAGCCAAATGATACATCGGTAGGCGATTTTGACAAGTTATTAGAAAGTAATCAAAATAATACAGCAGCATTAAATTCTTCTGGAATACATTTTCTGGATATGAGAAGATACGAAGAGTCACTTACGTTTTTCAACAAATCATTGGAGATCGAGCCAAATAACGCTATCACATTGTCCAACCGTGGATTAGTTTATCAGGAAATGGGTAGATATAAAGAATCACTTGCTGACTTAAACAAATCATTAAATATTAATCCAAATTATGCAACTGCATTAAGCAATCGTGGATTAACTTATCAGGAGATGGGTAAATATAAAGAATCTCTTGCTGATTTAAATAAGTCATTAGAAATCGAACCAAATAATGCATATGCATTATATAATCGTGGGGAAACTTACCGGAATATGGGCCTATGTGAAGAATCACTTACAGATTTAAACAAATCATTAGAGATCGAGCCAAATGATGCAATAGCATTAAATAATCGTGGATTAACTTATGCGCAAATGGGAAAATATGATGAATCTCTTACTGATTTAGATAAATCATTAGAGATCAAACCAAATTATGCAATAGCATTGAGCAATCGTGGTGATATTTATAGAGAAATAGGTAGATATGAAGAATCACTAGCAGATTTAAACAAATCATTAGAGATCAACCCAAATAATGCATATGCATTAAGTAACCGCGGATTTATTTATTGTAATATTGGAAGATATCATGACTCTTTATCTGATCACAACGATTCACTAAAGATTAATCCAAATAATATAATTGTATTAAATAATCGTGGAAATGTTTATCGACTAATGGGCAAGTATGATAAATCACTTGCGGATTTTAATAAAACATTAAAAATAAATCCTAATTATGCAAAGGCATTAGCTAATCGAGGAACGACTTATCTCAATATGAGAAGATATAATGAATCACTCGCCGATCTAAATAGAGCATTAGAAATAAATCCCAATTCTAGAATGACATTAGCTAATCGTGGAGTAGTTAATCAATATATTGGTAGATATAAAGAATCGCTTGCAGATTTGAATAGAGCTTTTGAAATTAAATCGAATAATGAAAAAACTCGCATTAGGTTTGGAACTTGTCCAAGTTGCAAACAATATAATACTGGTTTTCAATTTTGCCATTCATGTGACACTCAAATAAATCATGACTGGACTAGTGGAATTAAAGAAATTGATGATTATATTAAAAAAGCCCAGAATGAGTCTGAATATTATAACAAAGTAATCGAATGGATACCTTTTGATAGATTGAAAAAAGTTCAAAAAATAGGTAAAGGAGGTTTTTCCACAGTTTATTCTGCAGATTGGATTGATGGTAGGCGAACCTATGATCTTAATGATATGAACAAAAAAATTATGCTATCACGAGAATCAAATTGTAAAGTTGCACTCAAAAGTTTAAATGGAGAACAAAAAATTGATTGCTTAAACGAGGTAAAAAGAAATTATTTTGCTATTTTATTTATTTATTTTATTTATATGACTAATATCTTACTTATATTCAAGTTTAAAGCACATTATGAATGCCAACTTAGCAGATATAGCGTAGAAAGCTATGGATCGGAGATATATGGGATGACGTATAATCCAATAGAAGATCAATATATGATGGTTTTTGAATTTGCTGATGAAGGAGATCTTCGACATTATCTCCAAACTAATTTTAAATCTCTTACATGGAAACAAAAAATTAAGATTCTTCGTTCAATATCGGACAATTTAAATTACATTCACAAGAAATACATTCATAGAGATCTTCATAGCGGTAATATACTTATGTTTAATACTGAGGATGTTATTCCTCATGTTTTAAATTTAAATGGCACGTTAATAATGATTCAGGTGAAAGTTGGAGGTAAATTAAAGACAATAGAACCAAAAATATCTGATTTAGGATTGTCAACCGAAGAAAAAAAACATGACATACAAGAGTGTGGATTTTACCCCTATTTAGCGCCTGAAGTTTTATTGAATAAGCCATACATTAAAGCATCAGATATTTATAGTTTGGGTGTAATAATGTCAGAGTTATCAACTGGTCAACCGCCTTTTATAAATAGACAATTTGATTCTATTTTTGTGCTGGAAATAATTAGTGGCACACGTCCTGAATTTGGCCGAGAAACACCTGATTGTTATAAAAAACTCGCGTATCAATGTATGGATGGAGACCCTGATAAAAGACCGACTGCAGCAAATGTTTATGAAATGTTACAAGATTGGGAGATAATTCTTGATAAAAATATTGAAGAACTAAATGAAGAACAAATTCAGATTAGAGATGCTTTTTTAAAAGCGGATAAAAATCTAGAAGAACCAAATAAAGATCTAATTGAGACTAAAACTGATAAAATTAGGTCGCAACTTATAGGTAAAATAAATTAATTGCTTATTAATTATCTATTAAAATTTAAATCGATTAAAAGGTTTTAAACAACACTTTTGTTTATATACTGATATAAACTTCAAACTTTTCTATCCATCCATTAAATAAATTTGTTAATGCTTTATTAATGATTAAAATATTAAAAAATATCCAATATATATATATTTAAAATAATAATATTTTGCGTTTTCTACATAATGAAATTGGTGTTTAAAACCTTTTGCACAAGTTCTAAATAAAATACATTTATTAATAATTTAAATTTATAATAGAATCGAACATAAACCGGCTTATTGAGTTTAGTGGTAAGCTAAATTTTAGTTTTTGTGAATTATTAAATAAAAATTTAAACCAACTAAATAAATATTCTAATTATTTACAGTAGATAATATGGATGACCAACTTGTCATTGATTAAACAAATAACACCGAATACGTATTTAACATTCTGATTAAACCAGATGAGTTATATGAGAATATTATGATCGAAAAATAAAATAATTTCAATTAAATATGTAACTGTACAAAATTTAAATCTACATACTATTGAGTCAATCATGAATGTATGTTGAATTTTGTGCGAATTACATATAAGGAACAGCTTTCATAAATACATAATAATACTTTGTTCTTTAACATCTTTCATTATAATCTTAAAAGGGATTTTAAATTTGCAAATGGATTTTTGTATTGAAAATAACCTTATGGGAAATCATCGGCAACTAGCGATTGAGAAAAAAATTTGTTATTTAGATAATTATAAATATATAAAATAATATTAACCGGATTACTCATAAAATTAAATTACGATGCAAATTAGATATCTGGAATTAATAAGGCTTACTCTTCAACATTTAATGTAAAAGGATTATGTATTTTTATATAATTCTACACAATAAATGGTTTACAAGTGCACATAAAAATAATTTTTTCTAAAAATGTCGGAAGTTGAATATTATTCATTAGTAAACACTAACATATTGAAAAAATTTTAGCTGATAACGAGGGAATAGTATATACATAAATTTTATTGCAGCCTCACAACATAATGATATATAATCTGAATTAAAAACAAGATCTTAATTATTGGTCTCTGTCAGCAGAACTTCCAATCATGCATACATACACATAAAGCCTTAGTACGTAAAAAACAAGGCACTCGAATTATAATTGGCAGCGTACAGTGTGATGCTTGATACGTGAAAAATAAAAAAGATGCGACAGTTAGGGTCACGCGGGCCGATCAGATCTCATTCGATCGCCATATAACCACACACTACGTGATATGCATCACTTTGTTCCTTGTATGCCATTTAGTGATCCGAATCGACTAAAATTTTTAGTTGACTAGTCAGTCGACTAATTTTATGACTAGTCGACTAGTCGTATATTGTATAAAGTAATATAATAAACTACAATTTATTAGTCAAACAATCAAAAATGTTGGTTAACTATTAGTTGTCCGTAGGACACTACAGGTAGAGCAATATTACACCCGATGTCCATGTGTTAACAAATTCTGAAATCTGATTGGCTAGATCAGGTGTAACGTAAAAGATTTAAAAAAAACAACCGAAACTAACGTTTATTGGCTAGATCAGGCGTAATACAGTATAAAAACAAACTGACACTTTAAATTTATATTTGGTCTTCGGACTTTGAATGGTTTCCATTTATCTAGTCATGCAAATGGAATTTTGGCCCACATTATGAAATTTCGGCCAGCATTATAGCAGCTTACTGCTAATGCGGACCAGAATTATGTTTCGAAATATTCCGAAGCCTCCAAAATATTCAATGTGCATAACACTATGTAGTCTATATATTTATTATCCTTATTTTTAGTTGATTTAGTCAATTAGTTGATTTTGGTTGACTTAGTCGACTAAAACTTAGTCGATTCCTATCAATAATGCCATTGTTATATACGTACATAATTTGTAAAAGTATTATATAGTAATGTAATGGCATAATTATGTAATTTGTAAAAGTGTTAACACTTTCTATAAATAAATGAAACAATTTTTCAAAAATTAACTTCATGTGATCACACTAGTATTATGAATCATTTTTTAATAATTGAATTAAAAAGTTGGCCAAAATTTAAAAAATGATTTTACTTTAAATAGAGACCATCTGAAGCCAGATACAGTAGGTGGCAAAAGTAATGCCCGATGATTAATTTTATAGTAAAATATATATAAATTTCTTTTTAGGAAATTTTGCTATCAGAAAAAAAAACTTGTTTTTTTTTTTAGACTATATGAAAATTATACATTATATAAATATAATCATCAAATTTTCTAATCGTATAAAATTAAAAAATTCTTATTTTTAAAATTTTGGACCTTTACTAATTTTAACCTTTTGCATTTTTACTATGTTTATATTAAGTAAAATTTGTTAAATTTAATTGCAAATTTTATGTTATATTAAAACTTTTATTTTTTTATAAAAATAATTTTTTATTTAATATTGTCTTTAAAGTATAATAATAATACTATTAATAATTATAGTTAAGCCTTTTTAAAAGAAATTTTAAAATTTTATATTTAATTTTGAAGTCAAATTTACAAATTTTATATGTTTTATATTTGAAATTTTGAATTATAAACTTTATAATTTTTAAAAAATCATTCCAATTCATCCATCACAATGAAACTCACAGATTATTGAAGTATAAGTATTGAATTTACTAATTATATTTAAAAAAAAATTTATTAAAAACAATATGGACTTTTATATTTTTTTTTTGGTATTAAAAGGTAAGGCCTTGCTTATATCTTTATTGAGTAATTTATATATGTAATCATAAAAAAACAAATCTGAATAAAGACTTAATTCATATATAAATGAATAAATATAAACTACATGCAAGAATAAAAGCTCAAACTAATTTATCTGCGACCTAAACCTACTGGAGTGGTTAAGACTCACCTAGATTTGAATAGTTAATATATGATTAGTGAAATGCTGAACTGAATCCACAAAGTGGACCAGATATTAAATTTAAGTTTAGCGAGCCCACCTGGGGCAAGAAAAGGAATCAGAATATAGTTAATCAGGTAAGTTACATGGACAGTTATAAGTGAAAGTGTTACGAGTTCTAGTATAAAGACAAGTAGGAGATCGTTGACTAACTTGAATAGAAGTAGAATTGGATGATATTTAGTGTGCTTTTTTCAAGTAGAAAAGTTAATACAGTATGATTTTCATATTTGTTTATAGATTTGATTAGAAATTTTGATAAGGATTTTCAAAATTAGCTATGAAGCTATTGAATAAGATATGTCAAATGATAATATGCATTGGATGAGCGGAGAAGGAATAAGACCTTTGAGAGTAGAGTGAAGAGAGTATAGATAGAGATTAGAAGAGTGAAGAGAGAAGGAAGGGTGAGATGAAATTGTATGTATTAAGTAGTTAAGTTCATGAGAAGCAAGATCAAAATTGGCATTTAAAATAGTTTCTAAAATATAAGAATTAATAATTTGGAATAAGAGATTATAGTGAGAGCAGAGGTACCAATGAGAAGGAGAATCGGGAAGATTGTATTGAAAACAGTTAGAAGATAGGAATAAGTTAGGTGAAATAGAATAAAAATGAAAGTGTGTAGGTAGACAATTAAGTATCATTTTAATTTTAAAGGATTTAAGATGACTAAGTTTAGGATTAGTAAAATTGTGTGAACATTTATGATTGTTGTTAAAGTAGAGCCATGTAGAATTCCAGTCAATAAGGTTAGAGAAGTGTGACAATTCATTAGTACATCTTTGAGAGAACCACATAGAAATAGTATTAGCATTGCAGATATTTTTAATAAAGCATCTAGAAGGGCTATCAATTGAGAAGTTTTTTCATTGAAGGGAGAAAGAAGGGTTATATATATTAGAATAATTAAACAATAGGATTGGATAAGAAGTATGATTATTAGCAAGGTAATCAGCTAGATTATTGAAAGTGTCATCACGGTGGGCTTGGACTTTATGAAAAATTAGGTCAATATTATATGCTTTGATAGAGTTAATAAGTGTATACCAGATTGGCCAAGAATTGAATTTAAAGTATTTAGATA